CTCTCTGCAGTAAATTGTACAGGTAAGTTATCCATTTCATTTCATCACATAAGAGCAAATTTACCATCTTAGGATGGTGATGAGACCACAGAAGTCATGTGAGATTTGAGGTTTGCATAGCAGTGAAACTTTAAATTTTGGTCTTCCACATGTAACCACCTACAAGACTACAACAGCATAATAGCCCAGGAAATTACAATCCAAATTGTAAAGGCCAGTTTCAAAATCTGTACCTGAACTATCTGCACTGTCCTGCTATGCCTGCAACACTGTTGTCATATGAACAATAGTATTTTCTTAATGCCAGACAAACATCAGAATTTCTTTTGGAGGGATAAAACAAGCAAATCACAATGTTTCTTTGGAATGTGAAAAGTTTGAAGTAGGAAATTCAAACATTATGAATGTATCAACAGTAAGGAATATTCATAGTCCTGTATACAAATTATGAGCTCTTGATCACAGATTGTTCAAAATAAATTACTGCTCAGAACTGAATGTAATCAAAATGTTAAGCACAGAAAGCTTTACATTACAGTAATCATTTGCGCTTGCTTATAGAAATGTGATGACAATATGAAGCCATTAAAACAGTTTTTGTCTAAATCACGAGTTTTTAATGTACAGCTAAATATCTTCTTTTAATTTTACTAGTGCTAAATCTTGTATCAACGGCATAGTTAAAATAACAAAAATTTCATACATAAAAGCAATATGAGGCCCATTTTTACAAAAATACAACTAAACAGTTGTAACTCTAACAATGTCAGTTCTCTAATCTTGGTACAAGAGTTGAAATTATAAAATGTAGTTGAAAAATTCACTATTCATTTGATTCAGACATTACAATCTAAGATGTCATGAGACTGTGAACACTGAAACTTATGAGTCCTGCAATTTGCAAACACATATTTAGTTGTTTTATATTAAAATGTAATTATTTCTTCATAGTCAATCTTCTATATTGGACAATGCAATTAGATGACATTACATTTATAAATTATTTATATTCTCTTTATGTTCATAACACAATATATTGCATTAATATTCTAAAAATAATGTGCAGTCCAGAGAGGGGGCAGATGGACCTGGTTATTTTCCATGTTATTCTATGTGGAGTATGTGATGGATATACATAAGGGTTTTGAACACATTTTCTCCCAAGCAATAGAATTATTAGGTGTTCTTCACACTTTAGTAATAAACAAAGAACACATTATGGGTCCATATAGAACATCTGTCCATGGGTCAATGTTGCATAACAATTAGAATCACAGTCCTACTGTTGAAACATACTGCTGTGCAACAATGGCAACAGGAGTTCTGCAACACAGTTTTGTGACAATGCCCTAAGACCACGTTAGTGCAAAATGGTTTGTTGGAAAACATTGTTGTTCATCAGTAACCTCAGATAACATTAATGTAACAATATCAATGGCATAAGAACACTTTGTAAAGTCTGTGTACTCCAGAGAATACACATTTCTAATCTACTTGTTACTAAAGTGAATATGTTAACTAACCAGCATGCTACCATTGAAAGTCTTTGAGATGAGGACTCATCTTCTGCAAAAAGTAACAAGCATGACCATTTGATTTACAATTCTATATACACACATGAAACAAGAACAGTTGTGGGAAGTAACGTGCAAGTTATGTATTTGCTTTGAACAGATGTAATTTTATGTTATTTGTATATACATGGACGGTGAAATGCATGATTCCCATTTAATTTGATATCAATGCAAACATTATGCTGTAATCAACTTTATTCACAAAATGCATATGTTGCAGGACTCTATACCTATGTCATTGATACATATTCTTATAATCTGAGAATGATACTACTTAATCATAACTCAGATTAATCAAATATTAAATTATTCCACAGAACGTTAATTATTTCTTCAAAAATGCATCACACTAAACATTAGAAAATAATTATTATATGGCAATAACTTTGTTCCCAATTACCACAGTTAAACAGCAAGACAATCGCCATAGTGAATCCTGTACTGAGGTCCCATCCTGATTATCCTGTTGAAGAAATTACATACACTGTTAATATTTAACGTAAGAAAGGAGAAGTTACATCAACCAGATAGCAACAAAATAACATGATTACTGAACTAGTATGCCTCATCTCTGTATTTAAATCCAGTTCTATTTCTAAAAATGTATATAATAATGGCAAATGCTTTAATGTTAGCTTCAACTATACATACATTATAAAGAATCTGCATTATAGTTTATCATTTCCAATGCCAGCCTAATATTTGTCTGTGTGCGCCCATTTCATACAGTTTAAACAAACAAGTACTACAGGTGTACATTTATTTGGTTTTTTGTGTCATCTTGAATCACTGTTGTTCATGTGTCAACTATGACAGATAATTACTTAAAATGAGAGCATTGTAAGGTAGAGAAATATGAAATTCATGGGTCCACAATGTACCATAAAAGAACATAACACAACATTTTCAAAAGAAATATATTATGTGTTAAGTAAATTGTTGAGAAAGAAAACTTAGTCCAAATCAGTAACTTATATATGAGAAGTGACCAAAAGACAACATAAATAATTAGGATACCTTCTTAAGTTTCTTTTCATTCATCACAATCTCTGTAGAAATGGAAATTGTACTCCAAGTAGTCAATTCCAAGCTTATCATTAGGCAGAAAGCATGTATTCTGAAAATCAAGCATATTAAGTACAAATATGTGAAAAGAGTGCAAAACAAATATGACACAATATATAACATGCATTCTTAATTACTCTGAATTTATATATTTTTAAATAAAAATGATACTTATGTTTTATTGTATTAACCAGTGTATTTTTAATACTGAATAACCTGAGCAGTGTTATCAAAATAACCCACACACATGCATGCACACAATCTTTCCTAAAACATCTGTTGCAACTCTATATCTGTTATTAAATACATGTAGATTTAAATTACACATTTATTCATAAACACACTCACTTTCAATAAGAGGCTCTTATTAAAAACCATATTTATTTGTTTAATTCATGTCACTGCATCATGCTCCCTTCCTTATTGCTGTGAAATAATGAAAAATAAATATCCAAATATTTCATGCATTTTATTTTATAGCTTAAAAACTGATGAAAAGTATCACCACCAAAAATACTAATTCATGATGTTCAGCTGGACTGTCAGCTGAGTGACCTGGAATATTACAGCCAGCATAATTTGATATAGCAATTTTGGCTGTATGAAAGATCATGCCTACATGATACTCTGCTTTCTCTCTTCTCTGTGAAAATGGTTATCGTGTTTGATGACATAATACGGACAGCTGTAAACTATGGGTAAATATTCAAGTCATAAAGCAGGTTTTAAATCAAACATAACTGAATAGGCCAAGAAACATTGCAATTGTGATTTATGTTACATAACATGATCTGCTGCTACCTTCCATCTTCATGACTGATAGACACTTTGTGGTACCAAAGTAAGAATTTGTAAAAATTACAATAAATACATGCTGTGGAAAGTAAAAGTAAAGTTTGTCCCACTATACGCCATACAGGCGTTTGGGGTGAGTGGAGGTATAGCTCCTACTTTTTCTTGACCTCGGCACTAGATGGAGTGAGTGGTCAGCATCAGTACATCAGTAAAATGTGAGAAAAGAAAGGGGAAATCAATCATTTCAAACAGCAACTACTAAAACACAAAATTCACAGAATCGAAGACCATTACGGAAAGTAGCAGAATATAATAAAAGCATGATAAGCTAACATGAAAAGAACCAAGTTACCTTTTATTCAGTTCCTGCTGCATCTATACCCAACATTCATAAACACCAAGGATCTGATCCCCCTCCCCCTGCAGTTCAGAGTGATTTTTCATTATTTTTAGATAAATGTTTTTCATAAGTTTGTTAATCTCTGTACTGACAAAGAATATGATATGTTACATCAACATGAAAACAAAACTCTCAATCAAGAGCCCCTTCCTAAATATCCTCTAGCACTAGGTGCGGAATTATTATGATCATTGGACTTTCATATTTATTACTAGTTACTTACAGTGACAGTCTGTACCAGTGGCACCCTGTAACGAACAGTCATGCGTGCAAAGGCTCCCACATCAACTGAGAATGATACACCATTAGAATGCATTTCTCCCTGCTGCTGGTTTTGCAGTCCCGAATTCACATCATCACTGGGCCAGCTATCACTGCTACGACTCCATACACATACAGATGGGCCAATAGGTGAATGACACAGCTCAGCTGAATGTGATCGTGCCACGTGTGAAAAACTGCCAAAACAAAACATAATACTGCTACAGAAAATCCTATAGTCACGCGTTTTTGTTAAAAATTACGAGCTCCTAAAAACCTAAATATACAGCAAAATCTCATTACAATCTTGGTTTTAACTTAAAATATTTTCATCTGGATGATCTGAGTACACTTGCAGTTTAAAATGATTATCACTGCTTTGTGGAGACTAACATAACCAACCTTGGACAGATCGCGATATATGAGAAGCTACACACTTTAAATCAATCACTTCCTCTCCCCAATATGGGAGTTCTGCCATTGACTAGTTACCCATGCACATGAAATGCAGCTGAAGAATCTAGAGAAGTTATCTTCAGAATTGAGCAAATTTGCAGATGAAACATGTAAAAAAGGTGGCTGGAGAGTACTTCCCAATATCATACAAAGAATGCATAAAATATGATAAGAATAATTTCACTGAAAGTTTTAAACACCAAAGTTGTCCAGAGGAAAACTGGATGGTACATCTGAGCGAGATTATCATTTATAGCCTCCAAATCCCATTATATCGGTGTATAATTCCACCAATTTAAGACATACTTCAGTTTAGATCCACTGTGCCCTACTGCAACATTACATGTAAATTTGAGCATACTCACTGGAACTGGAGGATAAGAGATTCATCAGGCATAAACCTGCTGAGGGGAACTGTGTATGTATAGTTGAATGCTGTACGGTCAATACAGGGCACAGACTCTGGTCCATCCTGAATCAAGCAGAACTCGGAACCCAAAGTCTGATTGAAATGCCGCCCCTTCACACTCACAGACACACCTGCATGATCCACATCTGATACAACAAAGACAAATGTGCTTTAAATGTTGGCACTCTGTTGCCTTTGGAAATTATAATTAACATATTTAATTTTAAGTTTTGTTACTTTATAACAAAATTGTATAACTGATACATCCAAGACATCACTTGATGGATCAAGTGAGAGAAAATATAATGGAAGAAAAGACATACTGAAATGAGATTTAATATTCATAAATGTGGGAAGGAGACTGCAATGGAAACTTCTAAGCTACAGTAGACCCATGTGACGCAGTTTCAACACACAAATAAGATGAAAAGAAGAATATTTACGCATGAACTCCCAGTTATTATTTGTTGTTTTAGCAGTGAAGTATTTTGCACTGTTGGGGTTATTACATGTATTATATCTGTTCTGAATGAATGAAGAATACTAAAATTTAGAAACATATTTTTCAGACACTGCACACAATTGCCATTTATGATGTTCAGAAGCAGAATTTACATGGGAAAATAATCACTGTATCAATGACAATATAGGCAGAAAATAAAACTTGTTTAATACATGTATTATACATTTTACACACAGAAATATTAGGGGCCAAGACAGAAGGATAACATTATGATGGATCTTTGAGAGATGAGGTTCAGAACACTGTCCAATGGCAGCATTTTCTAAATATAATGATGAACCTCTGGATTCCATGAAAAAGCAAGGATTCTTGATTCAGTAAACATCAGTTGTTCAAGATGCTTGTATGATTATATAAACAAAACAATGTTCCATTTCCTTACCAGAAGAGGAGTCAACATTACTATAGACATTCTCTCCATAGTTCCATTCATCTGTATCTCTTCGCCTACGAACAAGAAGGTCTACTGCATTCTTTAGTCTATCAGGTTTCAACCAGGAAGTTGGCTAAAAGAAAAAACGAGATTTTGGGGGAATAATAACATTACATAAACATTTAAACAAAATAAACATTTGGGAACTGTAGTTAATTTACTTTGAATCTATAAATCTTTGAATCTGCTGTTCTGACTGTTAAAACATTATATGGCATATAAGATTTCTAAAAAGAAGTTCCTCATAAAGGTGAATATTCAGTGGGAAAATATAAATGAGAAATGTTCATTTCAGTAAAATATTTGCACATCTCTGGCACCATAAAATTTCACAGACACATGCAACAGGGCATACAAAATCAATTGTCTTTTCATACAGAAAGGGGTTTAGATGTGACAAACAAATTAATCCTTCAAATATTAAAAAAGGAAAAAGTCAAAAATAGCAAACAACAGACGTATGATACAAATTACGCTTCCTCCAGATGAATTTCATTATGTACTCCTTTTTTTGTTGCTTCAGTATTTTATGAAACTGTCATAAAGAATGATTCTTCATGATCTGAAGCTTTCAGTGACTAACTACAATGATTTTTTCGCGGACTACCAGTTACAGTACCCTGAGGACAAGAACAAAGATGGTTCTCAAAATGTTGGTTTTGCTATTAAACCATCTTACACGGATGCTAGCCTGAGAAGAATTCATTATAAATGATTCTTCACTTCATGGCCTCTGCGGAAGAGGCAACAGACACTATAGAAATATTAAACTGTATTAGAACCTTAAGGTTAATCACAAATGCTGAAAAATGGTATGAGATACTTGAAAACTCTGAGTGCACTTACAGACACTTTAGGCCAGGATAGGAAATCCTAAAGTGAGGTACTTTTGGGCACTTAAACTACAGAAGGGTGAAAATCTAGACAGTAAATAAATTATTATTACCTCCTCTATCAGTGCTTGGTTATTGACAGGATCAAGAGCAGCACTGTAGCTATTTTGCTGCATATTTTCTGGCTTCCTATGTTCCTCTAGTGCATTAGTTGCTGGTGTCATACGTTGGTTCAATGAACTTCCACCATGGTGAGCTAAAAGCAACAGCATACAATAATGAGGAAAAAAAGATGGATATTACATAAGTATATTGTTCAGAATTCAATCTGGTGAAAGTTAATTTCTGTTTGCTCAGGAAATAAAAAACTTTGCAGTTATTTCAACCAACTCAATGGAAGGAACCAAAAGAAAAGCTGAAGGAGATCATATCAGTATGCTTGTCACCCCATGTTGCATACTATTGTGAAAATCATAAAGTAAAATAGGGAATTCTTGTTAAAATCTTTGAAATAATGGGCTTGAGCATGATGACATTCTGTTATTATGTTGGTGGTGTTACATGTGGGTTGGTATGTTGAATATTTTATGTTCCATTGTTCAGGACAAAAAAGACATGTCTGACAAAACTTCTATGTAGTAGTCAATCAATGTAAATATGAACAAAAGCAGCCCATTCCCAGGCTACATCACTCTGTAATGCTGAGACTGAAGTATTCTCATCCAACCAACAGTGCTCTAAAATGCTGCTATGTGCATTTTCTTTTTAACTGACCGTACTTGTTTGACATTCCTATTTATGCCACATATAAGATTCCATAATGAGACAAGTTACGTATGGCCTGAGAGCTTCAATGCTGGTATCTGAGTTTAGTTCAGTTGTAGTTATCTTCTTTGTGTGTGCCAAAAATCACATGACACATGCCACATGCCACATGCCACAATACGAGAAATTGAAAAAATGTAATTATAAAAGTAGTGACAGTTAAAAGATTTCATGGAATGAAGAAAGAAGGCATAGAATAACAAGATAATGCTGCTGATGACAGTACTGTCATTCCATCTCTACAAATAAAATGGAAACATAACCTTACTTACTAGGTAGCTGTTGAATTAATAAATTTGGCAGGACCTTCTCATGAGGATCTTGCAGATCTTGGTATACGGGTATGGATAAAGCAATGAATGTCAAGAAACTCACTGCTGATGTAAGAGACCAAAGTGTGTGGAAATTCAGTGTGACAAGGCGGTAATCAGTCATATAAACCAAAACAAGAAGTGAAGAGTATTTGATAAACTACATAACATCTATTATAACAATTTCTTTTTCTCCACAAGATTTATGACAATGCTTCTCAAAAGAAATACACATTCTTGTGAAACTGCATGGGCCACAAAAATAGACTGGCCCAGAGAATATGATACTGAAGCAGAGAGATGTTAACGCTGCAACATAAAAATGTCACAGTTGCAGTGCAGTAAGATAATCATGGGTTTCTGTTGATAAACTCAGAAGTACAACAGATGATAATGTCTAAGAAAACTGACAAAAGTGGTTGGGAAGTCAAATATATCTTGCCCATCACACGGACGTTATGGAGTAAACCTAATGCAGGATAGGGCTATGAAAGATTACAAACTGCAGAAAAAAAAATCAGAATTTTATGATGTGACTGTGCTGAAAACTTACAGAATTGCCTGGAAGATCGAGTTTCAGAAGCAGCAAGACGTGTGGCAGCAGTTGCTGACTCCACATGATGCTCCTGGTTTTCCTCAAGGTGAAATATGTCAGGAGAGCAGCAATATGTCTAAAATGTCAAATAAAATGTCTAATAAGGTCTGTAATATTTTTATACCATCAACAACCACAATTTTGTGATGATAATTAGTGACATCCCCACATCCTCACGAATTAGTGATATACTGTTTATAATGGTGTAAAAGACGAAGATTTCTGTCTTCTGGGTTGTTGCGTTGTGTAGTCTGGTGAATGTTTACCAACGTTTCAGAGGTCATACTGCCTCCGGGCGATGAAAAAACATTGACCAGACTACACAGCGCAACAACCTAGAAGACACAAATCTTCATACTCACCGCTGTGAAAACCTCAAATCTTACGGTGTAAAAGACCTACATAATTTCACCTAAATTTAGTTTAACAACTAGAATACATAATGTAAAATAAATAAATTGTGGCAGTTGATGGCTATTTCCAGCATTATGATTTATTCAGCCTACCTGTCTTCTAATATTCTAAATGGCAAGATATTGATTATATAAACAATTTCTTACTAAAAGAACATGATATACAAACCTGACATATTGGGCTTTCATTGTCAAAATAGTGATGGAGGTTACTGCTGCCACCCACATTGCTTCCAGATCCCCCAACCAAATGGGAACATTCATGTGGCCTTCCAAGAATGGGAGGAGAGGCTCTTGCAGCACCATTTCCTCTCAATGAGGCAGGAGACAAGAACATTTCTGTGTCTGAGGGACCCTCGGATACCGTGTACTCTGATTTTGTTGTCGATAAAGGATTGTTCAGATTTATGTGGTGGGGACCAACTGATTTCCTAGATAACCCAGGGTCATTGCTAATGGGAGATATACTAGTCAGTCTTTGAGGAGTTCTGGTCTGATACCAAGAACTGGTCATGAGATCCTTAGTATAATATGAATGTTTCACTGAAGGTTTTGAAGAGGCTATGTTTAATGGAAAGGATGCAGGAGACATTGTACTAGTCATAGGTGGTAGGTTAGGATGAGAAGAAAATACTGATTTGAAGGTCAGCGTTTGTGCTGTTGAAACATGGGGACTTGTTTGTCCCACATGCTGGCTGCAGAGAAAGAAAATAAAAAATTAACTGGCATTCATTAGAATATAAAAGTAACAAATATGAATAATAATAATGTATTCTAAATATTAGTTTACCTGTGAGGAATGTCATGGTCTAGTTTATTTCTCTTCTGGAATTCCAAGAAGTACAGAGTGGCCATTGCTACCAAACTGAAAAGACAAACAACTCTGAAAAAGAAACTAATATTTAGGTCTGAAGTATGACAAGCATGCTACTTTCTTATGAATTCATAGTATAGTGGATTGTAGCATGATTCTTAGTAGTACATCTTAGACAGCAGTTTGTTACTGTAAAGACAAATGTTACAAACCGCATATATCAATAAACAATGAGTTCATAAAGTGTTCAGTTTTAAAAAAAAATATTTTTATTCCTCACACACACACACACACACACACACTTATCACTGCATATAAATGGTAATTTCTTCATTCATTTAAATTAAAAGAAGCATAAAGGAAGTTCCACTGGCTTACATTTGTAATTAGTTTAGCCCATTTAACCTTCATAAAGCAGCACACTGCATGGCCTTGAAAGACTATTTATAAATGGCAAGAATGTAAGACTTCTTGGGGAAGCTTAATGAGTCAGGCTCTTAGCCTTTCATGGAGCTTTGCTTTCATGTCTTCATGAAGCAGTGCCACAGCACAGGGATGTCTTCACTTCTACATACAATGGAAATGTATCTAGCAAATTCTACCGCGTTTTATCTCAATAGTGCTACATTTAACCTTTAAAGCTTTGTTATAACTATATGGACAAACTAAATAAGATATGGCAAGGGAAAATAGAAATTATGCAACAAGGAGCTTCATAATTTGTATTCTAATACTCTTACACTGATTAAATCAATGGGATGGGCAGGACATGCAGCAGACAGAAGAAAATAAAAGATTACATATAAAATTCTGGTCACAAATTTTCATCAGAACAGACCACTTTGGAGGTCTAGGTATAAATGGGAGATCAATATCAAATTTGATCTTTAAGAAATTTGGTATGGAGGCATTGAATGAATTCAACTGCAGGTTCCAGCAGCAGGTTATTTTATATATGGTGACAAATGTTTGGGTTCTGAAAAAGCAGGAAATATGTGCCCTGCTACACAACCATAAACATTTCTAGAAAAAACCATGTGTCATGGACCTATATACTACTTACCAGAATGCCATGATGAGTACAAGAATCACTATAGTAATTTGGATAAATTTGTTGGAACACATAAAATCATCTGCATCTAAGCGACTGCATCTTCTATGCTTGAGAGTGGCTCCAGAAAGTTTACTTGCAACTGAAAATAATAATTTTAGTTTTAGCCTATAGCCTAATGAACACTGAAAATCTAGAAATTAATTGTTATGGAAGGAGAGATGAAACCAGCTCTAAGTTGGAGTTCCAAAAATGTGGCAGAAGGCAGGGAATTACAGCTGAAATGAATTAAATGACTGCACTTTAGAACCTGCCACTCCACACTAATGTTATTAATTTTAATTTTTATTTCAAATTTTAATCACAACAGTTAATTGGATGTAATTTAATAAAGCATTAAATTATAATAAATCAAATAAAAACATTTGATGTTTCTAGTATTTTATTTATTTCTTATTACATATGGATTGTGGCCTTCTGGATTGTTGCAAGTCTTGTAGGTGGCTAAAAGCATTCACAGGAAACGTACCATCTATACAACTTCCACTGCAAATCACCAACAAGATCACATGGCAAGAAATATAAAATATTATACTGATAACCACTGACTTAGCATTTCACTGTCAATATTATCAATTGTACTATAACACTCATCCTCATTTGCTCAGTATTCATCCACATACAAGCCACCACTCTTTGAGTTCTGAGAAGGAATTTGTCATGACCTCAACAGTAAAAAGGAACGCTGTTGGAATAAGAAATATTACACTAATTTAGAATAAAAATTAATTCAAGTAGCTCTACTCTCTTCAAATAGGCAAGAAGTCACAACAAAAGTAAAAACTTACGAACACCATAGGACTGATTAGATACTAAATAATTTGTTATGGTATTCTATTTTAGATATTTCCAGTCACAGTGGCAACACAGTCTGAGGTGTGGGTCTAGTCCTCTTGGACACTGTGACCACGGGTTTCAATTCCACTCAAGGCATGGATGTTTGTCTGCATCTTTCTGTGTTGTGCTATCCTGTGTACAGGTAAAGACCTTGCAATGGACTGACCCACTCATCAAAGGAGTCCTACTAAATGTCTAACAGATCAAGAAACCTCCAAAGGGAAGCACCTATGTTCCACAAGGAGTGAAAAGGGTATAAGAAGAAGAAGATTTTAGATATTAATGCTTCATATACTGACCACTAGAAATGCTTGATGATGTGGATTTGAGGCTGTCAATTCGCTTCAGTTTGGCAAGTTTTCGGTTCATTCTCTCAAGTTCATCAATACGAGTCTCCAGATTGTCTGTCACCTTGCATAGTTCTTTTACAGCTCCCACATTCTCCATAAAGATCCTCTCCTGGAATAAGAAACAAAATTAAATCTAAATTTCTCACAGTGATTAACTTTAAATAGTCTTCTATAGTAACCAACTAGATGAGTATGAAATAAAACTCTCTGAAACGTTGGAAACAGCAAGTCCCCAAACTGAAGTTTTATTCCATACTGATGCAGCTTGTTTCTGAAGAGTAAATCATTGTAATACATAAATTTCAAATGTAAAAGTTTAGAAGCATTTAGATATAAAAATGCATATATCACATCTCTGAATGTAACACAAATTTCTAATAAACACATTGTAAATAATAGAAATTCAAAGTGGCAAATTTTATACAAAGAAATTGATACTTTCAGTGCCAGTTTAAAAAAAAACATATATGTATAACAGCCATGCAAATTTAATAGAATTTGCAAGTATTATAGCTACTATGTCTGTTATGCGATATTCAAGTATGTATCACTTATATTTCTCAACACCACTGCCCAGAATTTTGTCTCCATTACTAAAGGGTAAGCATACAGTTAACAATTTCTCTGGTGCAAAGAATGTACTGATAAAAACAGCAGAAATGTTAGTATTATTTTGACATTAGTTAGTAACTGAAATTATTAGTTATTTAAACTTTCTTGTAGTGCATCTCTTAGTAAACCTATAAAAAAGTGCATTCCCTGGGTGACAGATGTGGCAGACCACCAGATATATAAATGTAGCCTGAAAATATTGAATAAAAGCCACTGGATCAACAAGGGGCCTCATTCCTGAGAGGCCTAAAACTGTTAAGACATTCTCTCTCCAGGAGATAAAAATAAAGATATGAAGGGAGACCAATCTGAAAACCTTGAAGAGGCAACCCTTACATCAGACTAGAGTCATTGTATAGCATTACTAAAATGGTTCAGAACCAATTCATTTCTTAGCCACACCATTTAAATTAAATATATTCTGATACTATTAGACCAGTTAATTTAAATGTCCTACATATACTGTGCTTAGTTACATTGTATATGGCAGAGAAAATTTAATTTTACCAAATTCTACTGTTTTACATATAGCAATGGGTTAACTTCTCAACTTTAAAACGGACTTTGTATAACCAGATCCCTGAAGAGAAAGATTACAATAAGAAAGTTCTTGTACATATCCATCATCCTAACTTTAATTAAAAACATGTTAAAGACTGGAATCTTTCTGTCCTCAGGCAAAACTTATTATATTGGACTCTATCTCTAGCAAATGGACTCAACACAGTAGGTTTCATCTTGGAACAGTTAATTTTGGTTCACGTCCAGGGGCATACTCATATGCATGCATTTACTCATTAACCATCTTCATAACTGAGACAGATTCTAGCCCCTGAAATGTTATTTCCAATTAAAATTAGGACAATGGATAATGCCCAAGAAGTCTGTCACTGAAAGGAAATACTTTCTCTTTCTCTCATTCTCTTTTACCCGTAGGTGTCGAGGTTTTTATTTATTCATTTTTGATCTGGACAATGGTAGGACTCCTTGGATGAGTGATCATCCCGACACAAGCCCTCTACCTATACAAACACAGAAAGACGCGGACAAAAATCCATGCCTTGAGTGGGATTCAAGCCCACTGTCGCAGCAGTCAGGCACACAAGGATCATGCCTCAGACCGCATGGCTACTGCGGACGGCTTGAAAGGAAATAACTATTGTCATAATTCTTCAGATGCAAGAATAAAATAAGTACAAACCTTGTTTACAACTAAGAAGTTATTTATTCGCCGGCCATTTGGAAGTATTATGTCACCTGTAGCATGCACTGCCTCTGGCAGAACCCTCTGTACATCTTGTGCAATAACACCTGTATCAGCAGTGACATTTGGGTCGGCAGCCAGTCCAGCATGGAGAGCAAATTCTGGTGCATACCGGTACCGCACCACGCGCAGCTTCTGAACATTTCGTAGCTGTTCCCGAGTGTCACACTATAACAATATTTCCACATTAATTTACAGTCTTTATACCACTGTTTATAAAATTTGGAGCAGTGGTCCCTGGGGGCCTAAAAATTTCTTTGAGGCAGACTGGATGTCTGAAAATAAACAAAATCTTCAGAGTATATGAAAAAATGCATTAAAGTTCAGTGTCATTCAGGGTATGGAAAAAGAAAAGAAATTCCAATCTCAGAATAAAACTTAATATCATGTGAAGTCTGGTTACTAATAAGAAAGAAGAAGAAGAAGAAGAAGAAGAAGAGGAGGAAGAAGAAGATGAAGTTTCAGGAGTTAAAACAAGAAGCTGAGAATAGGGAAAACTGGCGAGCTCTTTTTGGGCAGAACAATGGACCTGTCGTCAGACAGAACACTCAATAATAATAATAATAATAATAATAATATGTTAAGAAGGCTGGGCAAACTTTGTTGCTCAAGCAACATGCAGATAAACCCATGCATGGGGTCTTCTTCAAAAATGTAGAAAAAATGGGTTTGTCAAAAGACCTGACTTTCGCCTTTCTACAGTCGGCTGGACTAAAGTCTGAAACCAAGGGTTTCATCTTAGCATGCCAAGATTGTGTTGTAAACACACTTGTGTGCTGCCGAATGGTGATGGGTGTGGGAGTACCGGATACTGTCTGCAGGGCATGCCGAATGCAACCAGAGACGTTGATGCATCTTTTGTCGGCATGTAAACATTACGCCAGCTGCGCCTACATTCATCGACATAATGCTGCTTTACATATACTCTACTACCACCTGACACTTTTACGGCATAGATAAGACCCCCGTTTTGCGGTACGCTCCTGGGGACATTGAGTCCGTCGTTGAGAACGACAAATGTAAAACTTATTGGAACTATTCATTCCCCACTACCAGGCAGTTAACAGCCACTACGCCTGACATCGTTCTCATCGATGCCTCTGAACGCACTATGTATGTCATTGAGTTTTC